ACACACACACACACATGTATATACATATATACACACAAATGAGGGAGCTTCAAAAAGTTTGTGGCACAAGAGGATAAGTACTTGACCTCAAGGTCGGTTTGAACTGCAGGTTGGTGGTTCAAACTCTCCTCTGAAACCCTATACAGGGTCGCTATGAGTCAGAACCAATATTACATCTCACAACAGCACAATAATAAACATAATGATTATTATTATTTACTATATATATATATATATATATACATATTTTTACTTTGGATCTTTCTTAGATGCTTGGTCTTCTCTTGATTTTATTTTGAATCTTGATTTTTAAAAATAAGATTTAACTTACCAAAATTCAGAGTGAATAAAAAAAAAATTCCCTGTGAAAAGTGAGGTTCTTGAATTCAGGAAGATAGTCTTTGAGTTAGGATAAGCACTAGACTGCTAAACCACCTGGTTAGCAGTTCAAACACACCAACCACTCTTGGAAACCTTATACAGAATCTCACTGAGTTGGGACTTACTCGATGATACACAACATCAATATAGAATACAATCATAAGAGTATTAAACTTGAATACTTTTTATGATGTGGGAATAATTTATATAAAGATACTTGCAGTAAAATAACTGTTTTGTATTCAAATGCTAGTGGCATTTCCAGAGTTGGCCAAGTGAATATCAATGGTATCAGTTACCAGTTACCTTCAAATTGACTTCCCAACTTATGGAGTGCTCATGTGTGTCATAATAGAACAGCGTGCCCCATAAGATTTTCAGTAACTGGTTTTTTGGAAGTAGTTGACTGATACACCTTTCTTTAAAGGCATTTCTTGATAGACCTTTTAGTTAGCAGCTGAACTCATTAAACATTTGCACCACCCAAGGACTCCTGGCATAGAACCAGGTTTCCAAGGGCTACTTATGCCAAATAGAAAGATGTTTGGATTGTAATGATTTTAGAAGAGAAAAAAGGCAACTCAGAGGAAGAGGTCATTTTGTACATATGAGTCCTGGTTTGGCATTGTAGGATAATCACTGGACTGTTAACCACAAGGTCAACAGTTCAAACCTACCAGCTGCTCCTTGGAAACACTATGTTGTGTTGCTATGAGTTGGAATCGACTCAATGGTATATAACAACAATAATATCAACTTTCAGTTTTAAAGAAATAGTCACAATATCATGTTGAAAATAGCTTTTATACCACAATTTGCTTATCCATTCTTCAGTTGTTGGGCACTTTGGCTGTCTCCATTTTTTGCTATTGTAAATAGTGCTGCTATAAACATTGGTGTGCATATATCTTCTCGGATTGTGGCTTGTTTTTCTTGTGGGTAAATACCAAGTGGAGGAATTGCTGGATCATAAGGTATTTCTATTTTCAACCTTCTGAGGAATCGCCATATTGCTTTCCAGAGAGGTTGGACCATTTTGCAGTCCCACCAGCAATGCAGGAGTGTCCCAGTCTCTCTACATCCCCGCC